CTTGCCCCTGCCCCATGGCAGGGGAGGAGAGCCCTGCCTGCCACATCATCTCCCTGACAGCCTGGTGTGGCCTAGCTGTGGGAAGCTGGGAGCACAGTTTTTCCCCCCCTGCCCCATAGCGGGGCACCGCGCTGTGCCCCTCCAGCCCTGAGCCCCAAGGCAGTGCTGTACAGAGCCCCGCCCCCACCCTGTGGTGGGGTAGGAGGAAGAGGGAGAGCGCCCCCTGTGACAGTCCAGCCCAGCCACTGAGGCAGCACTGCACAGAGCCCCCCTTTCCCCCGCTACTGCATGCAGGGGAGGAGGGGGAGAGCCCTGCTTGCTGCAGTGGCTCCATGACAATCTGGCCTGGCCTGGCCTGGGCATGGGGAGCCAGAAGCAATCCAGGCACACAGCTCCCATGGCCCCAGCCTGAGCCCCACCTCCAGCTGGGAAGGGCCCTGCCCCTGCGGCCTGGCCTGGCCCAGCTCCCCATGCCCAGGCTTTGCTCACAGCTCCCCATGCCCAGGCTGGGCCAGGCTGTCAGGGGGCCACTGTGGCAGGCATGGTTCTCCCCCTTCCAGGGAAGGGAGGCTCTGTGCAGCACTGCTTCAGAGGCTCCCAGACAGCCTGGCCAAGCTCTACCTGGGTGTGGAGAGCTGGGAGCAAACTGGGCCAGGCAAAGGCACAGGGGCAGCTGACTCTGGCTTTGGGACAGCCCAGCCCGGTGCAAAAGGGCAGTAGCTGCCTGGGCAGTGGTGTGGAGACGACACTGCTCCAGCTGCAGGCAGGCACTTTGGCAGTTGGACTGGATGGGTGGGACATGCCCATGGCTGTCTGGGCTGGTTCAGAGGCATTGGTGGGCCCAGAGCCTGCTGCAGGGGCTTTTTTTGCCTGCAGCTGCTGTTGCTGCTGCTGTACCCCCTGCACGGTGCTTGCTCAGTGCAGGCACTTTGCAGGGGGTGCAGCAGTGGCTTTGGGATACAAGCCCCTGTGGTAGGCAGCTGCCAGGCTCTGGGCCTGCGAGCTGGCCCAGGCAGCCACAGGCATGTCCTTGGGGATCATCCCTTCCGCACCTGCTGAAAGACTGACCATTGTAAGGAAGAAACAGAAATGGATATAGAGGATGTGTTCTGTCATCCTGGTGTCAGAAACAAAGAGACTGAACAGCAGAGTTCTCTTCTAGGACAGGCTGACTAATTGATTCCTTTGTATTTGCAGAACATCTGAAAGTACCTAGCTAGTTGTGCATCGGTGAAAAAGAGAAGACTAAGTAAAAGTGGGTACAGAGCACAGTGAATGAAAACCACCAGCAACTAGTTTCACGTGGTGAAGTAGATTGCAGCCCTGGACTGCTACCAGTCAGACAATACATTTTTTGCAAACCAGTGGTGGGAACATTTGCCATTCAGGTGTGCAAGGCCATTAAGCATGCCCTGTTGCCCAAAACTGTGGCTGATCAGAAGCTGAGAAAAGCACTGCACACAGAGTTGCATTTGGCAGATGAGGTTTCATCTCAGTGAGCCCAGTGTTTCTACTACTGCACAGTGCAATGTCTTGATTAATTTCTCAGTCTCCTTTATTGCTCTTTGGCCTTTCATTGCTTCTGTTTTTGCTCCTGCATGGACTCCATGGTCTCAGGGGCTCTGAACTCAGAAGTCTAGAGGAATTCTTAAGAACTCATCCTTCCTAATCTATTTCTATTTCTTCCTTACTATGGTCGGTCTTTCATCAGGTGTGGAAGGATATGCCAGCCAAGGTCACTGACAAACAGGCAACCATTGTTAGACTTCCAGAGCTAGTAGATTTCAAAAGATGCAGGCCGTAACTCCCTAAAATGTTCTCATATTAATCTGTATAAAAATATGAATGAGTTTCACTCATGGCTTGCTTCAGGGTTGTGAGAGACAGCCATACTACAGTGAACATATGTGTATTCTTTTCAAACCCTCTGGCTATGAGAGGTAGCTCCTAGGTGACTTCAGTGATAATACACCATTAAATTAATTACCAGCAATGGTGATCCTGGTAGATATATTGCTCACCAGTGCACCAGAAAGGTCAATTGTTCAACACAGCTTGTGGTTTCCTGGACTAGTATCTTTCCAGAAAAAAACTGTCCCTCCCCACAGCTCACTGCTGAGTGGCATGGCAAGTTGTCATATCACAGCACAAGAAAGAAGGATGAACTTCCTAGACATGCATAGGCAAACATCAGATAAAGTTTGCTAGAAGTTTTTAGTAAAATTGTGCCAGAGGACAAAAAGGATGTCTGGGCCAAGATAAACCAGAAGCTCCACAAGTGCAGAAGAGTTGTGGTCATTGGCTAGGTTTGTAAGCCAGTCCAAGCCAAGCCCCTGAGCCAGCAGCAACTTACTGTCTTTGCCTCTTTTCTTCAATCTAAGCACAGCTTGCAAGTAATTTGTTATGGACTCGGACTTTGAGGTTGGAAAACCCAAATACAGTGTTGTGAAACTGAAAACCAAATACTGCATTTCAGGTTAGAAAGCCTGCATCCAGTAACTTTACAATACTACTTCTGCCAAAATCATGTTGTTAGAACGCCTAGCTGCTGGACTGCCTACATGCATTCTTCTTGTATTTTACTCTATTTAAATTTGAATACTCAGTTTGCATAGATTTCTTTTTCTGTTTTGAAGGTATAAAATTCTATTTGTAATGTTTATTTAATTAATTATTTTCTTCCAACATTTTTTTTTACGTTGATAGCATTGAATTCTACTGCTAACGTGTATTTTGGAATGCTTTCTCTTAAAGGGTTTTTTTTTCTATGTCACTTTTTGCCTAGTCCTGACATTGTATGCTCTTAAAATAAGCTGGCTACTTTAAGAAAGAATTGCTGTGCTCCCTGCTTATGCAGTCAGATACCATTTGAAAAGGCAGGTGAAGTGTGGGGTGGGACAACCTCTCCACCCAGGGTTCAAATTACACTCCAACTTTTGGCGGGGCCTGCGGTGGTGCCAGCTGGAAGGAGCCACCACCATTTGAGCTGCTTAGAAAGAGTAGGGTGGGCCGGGGGCTCTCATCTCTTATGGGGGGGCTCTTGTCTCTTATGGGGGGCTTATAGGAGGGCTCAGCACCCCTGAGCCCCTCTGTGTTTCAAACCCTGTCTCCACCACTTGTGAGAAGAGGGTAAAGTCTGAGTTGTTCTAAATGGGATAAAATAAAAGGCATAAATTAGTGGAGATGATAAATTTTACCAACCTGACTCCCCTTTCTCTTTGGGGGGCTTCCTTCTTTTCCTTCTGGCTGTCAGTGAGGTCTCAAAGATCTTCAGGGTCCATGTATGCTCCATGACTACCTTCTTAATAAGCCCATCATCTGCATGGGCAGTTCTGTGTGCTCTTCATCCAGATGCTGCTGAGGCTCCACTATCACTTAACAGTTTGTGGGCTGGGTCTCCAGTTAGTTGGGCAACTCCAGGTGAAGCACTTCTTCACTATCCTCCTTTGCCTTTTGGGCAGTTTAACAACGTTCCTTCCTCTTTGCACCTGAACATCCCTCAGCTTTGAAATATTCACATAAACATCTTTATTCCTGCAGGAAATCTCAGCTGGGCTTGCACTCCTCTTTTCCTCCCACAGGCTGAGGAAATCCAACCTTCATTCCTAGACCAGACAAGCATCAAATTTGCTTGATGTTTTCTTAGCAGCAGCTTCCCTTGAAGCTGGACTTGCCCACTTAATAGGTGGGCTAGCAGGAAGAGAGGTGTTTCCAAAACAGCTGGGAATTTTAGTGTCTGTGTTGGAGTGAGAAGAGGAGCTAGGTGCCAGTGACAGTATCCTCTGGGCAGTATTGTTCAATAATTCTACCAGAGCCATGACTGCTGCAGGGGCAGTGGGACATTGTGCCACACTGATTCAGGTAATGCAGTACCCATCAAGCATTCATTGCACCTATAGAAGAATGATATGAGAGGACTTACACTGCTCTGGAATCTGGTACATCATCATCAGCAGGAGTTTAGAGTTCATCTGTAGAACTCAAAATTCAGTGTGGGTGCATACAAGGCTATGCTGACAGAAAACAAGCTGGACTGCTAACATCTTTGTAAAGCTGGCCAGGCCAAAGTACGCAACAATCTTTCCATTGATTTTTCTGGGCTTGGGATCAGACTGCCAACTGGCTATTAACACATGCAGCTACCTAATTTACATGCAGCTGTGATTCCACTATGTGAAAATGATGCATGCTACTGAGCATGCATTTTCACACTTGTGTTTGCACAAATGAAAAATATCAGTTTCCCATGAGAACTCGTCCAAAGTCACACCCCCACCCCAACCAAACCAGTCAGCTGGAACCAGGAATAAAATCTACATCCTTAACTCTCAATTTTGCATTCTTAAAGTCTCATTCAACTGCATTCTGTGCTACAGTTTAGAAACATAACTACCAAGATTTTTTTAACCATGTGCCTTATTAAGTAAAATGTAGCAAATATAGATTACTACTGGGTACAGAGTGCTAGGAAACCTTGAATTATGTACATGTTTATTATAATTGATTTGAAGTTTGAATTTTAAATTTTCCTAAGAAATTCCAGATTTAGGTGGAAAAAAATCTGGATTGGTTTGAAAGCCTTCACCTTTCTTCCTTTCTTATTGTTGTGGGTACATGTCTGAATTGATAGGCAGATGCAATAAAACTTAAGGGGCAAGTATTGCCTGCAGTTCTAACATCAAAATGTCCAATTATAGTAGCATGTTATTAAAAGAGGAAAAGGCAGATAAATTAGGGCCAGATATCAATGGAGCTAAAATGATTTACATCATCTGTGGATCTATTTCTGTAAGTCAGACACAGCTTGCTTGTTTGCCTAGAAATCCTTTCATTGAACATTTTTATTTCTTTAAACCACTACACTTTAATGGTATTGGATGGATGGCAACCACAGTGTAAAATCATACCCTGCTGAAACTCCACAGGGCTGGCAAGGCACAAATATTTTTTTTGAGAGCAGAGTAGTTCATTTTCTTATATAAATCTTGCTTTACATTTTGTAGCTTTGGCCCACTTGAATCATAATAGGTAGAAGACTCTGAAAACAATTTGCAAATGATCCAAGTATGATTCACTCACCATACCAAATGCAGCAGTTATCCTTCATCAAAATCACTGCACAATGCAAATTTTTTTTTTTTAGTAGACGTGAAGAATAACTATCCAGCTGTATACACAAAACCAGTTTTAGTTAAGTATAAGATAATTACACAAACTAGATTTTGGTGAGCCTACTGTTAGCGAATATCCCTAGTCTTGTAAAAAATGCCAAGGAAATTTCAATTGACTGCAAGTATTCAAGATCTTAATGTAACACATCTGCAAGATGGATTCAGCAGACCCAGACTTAATTGCAGTAACCAACATTCTGGTCTACATGACAGTTATTGGGCCTATTTCTACCCTTAGCTCTGCCAGTATAAATTTGGAAAGCTACATTTTAACTAGCTGCCTCACCAGGGAACTAGGGCAGGGGGCTGGGACCAGCCCCACCCCTGCGGCCCTTTCCAGGCCCTATGTCTTGATCACCCAATCAGGGTACAGGGCTGGGACCTGCCTCTGACTGATTTCATAGATTTCATAGATTTCATAGATTAAGGGTCGGAAGGGACCTAGTAGATCTTCTAGCCCGACCCCCCACCAGGGCGGGAGAACAACAAAAAACCCAAAAAAGAGAAACGGGACTCAAATGAGTCCAGCCAGGTAGGCATCCAGCCTCTTCTTAAAGACCCCCAGGGTAGGGGCCAGCACCACTTCCCTTGGAAGTTGGTTCCAGCTCCTAGCCGCCCTAAC